AGAACTCATATAGTTGCTTGTCAGTAGTTACTTGCCGTCGATCGACCGAAACAACTTATTTCCTTGATGCAACAATTCGCAATTACTGCAATTGATTTGCTAGATGCGTAGTTTGATATTCTGTAAAATTACATTAGCAGTATGTATATTGGGGGCAAATGTGATTGGCAGAATTGAGTGCAGATTGAACCTGCTAAGCTCTATAATTCGACAATCAGTCAGGTGGTGTACGGAAGGCAGTTGTGTCGTTGTGTACACATTGGCGCAAAACAGTATTTTCAGAAATCCATACGTAGCAGCCAGTCAAAACAGTTATTAAGAGTGATTTGTAGTTAGGGAATTAATAAAGTGCTCATGCCAATGACAAATGGCCCTCACGCTTTACGACGCTTATTGATATTCCCAGTACAGTCACTGCATTTTCCAGGCTAGCAAATCAAGTTAAGTTCTTCACGCTTAAATTTGAACCCGCAGAAAGGGCTGAAAAATTGCTACATAGCCCCGGACGTCTTACCAATAAGAATATCAGCTATCGAAACAGAGAATGTTTAACAATGGTTTTAAATTCACATGCGATTCCCAAGCCAAACAGATTCATGATTCCAAACCTTTCTGATGAGTATTGCGTCAAAATTCAGTGTCTTTTCTATAGCGAATTTAAATCTTGGGAAAACTCTGTCTTTTTAGACGTACCTAAATTTTAAAATACCCCAAAAAAAATTTCAAAGCTGTATTTTGTTGAAAACTACCTGTTTGGCTGTACATTTTTAATTTTCAACTTATAGCTGGAGTTGGGGCAGTCATCGAAAATACAAATACGCCCTTTACTGTTCTCCAAACTTGGTCCGATTGTTCCAGTTTAGCATAGCAGTACATTCACAAGCGATCCAGTCATATAGCTATTTTTTTCATCTCTGGCAAATTAGCTGATATCAAACACAAACTGGGAGCGTTGATTTGTCCATTTCTAAAGCGGCAAAATATTCTTTTAATCCGTAGGTTTTCCGATGATGTACATGTGCAATTTACAAATACAGTTCTATACATTTTTAAAGAGAAAATGAGCGCACATTTGCGGGTAGTACAATGTGTAATATATCTGTGTTGGCTTTTCTGGCTTGGCGATTTAGGATACTGAATCGGTCTCGTATTTGCTGCGTTTTCAATTTGTTTTCTGTTTGCAAAATTCGCAAATAGTCTGGAATTGATATGTTTTTTAATAGCAACTATAAACCGGCGTGTTGAATTTCAATATCACGAATGAAGCTTCTGGATGTGTTGTCTAAAGTGGCAAATGTTAACATACTGCATACACACACAGGCGTTCGACCTTACTAGCTCTTTATGCCGTAATGAAATACAGGAATTGATATTTGCATCACAAGGAATCATTTCAGTCGTCCGTGTAAAGCAATATTATATTCCAGCATCGACCAATCCCCAATTGCATTGCAGATTTTATCCCAGCTAGCCTTTGCAACGCTGGATGTTAGGGACAATATTCTGAAATGCTTTGGAAGACTTTATTTCTTTTTTGGTGTTTTTTATTTAATTTAGATTCGCTCGATCACATTTTAAGGCATAACGGTGGAAACGTTTGTGTTGCTCCTGTAATTATTTTCCGCTCGTTTAAACTCCCTTTTATTTTCATAAAATATGAGCTGTTTGCACTTTAATCCCTACCTCCCAATTTTGAAGCTGATCGATTTCTTACTTCGATGCACTTCCTGTTTGCTTGCTCCAAAACCCCTTATTACTACAAAACTCTTTTTATAATAAAGCACATATTTCACTTCAAAGTGAACTCTTAAATGATTACACGAGGCCAATTATAACGCCAAGTAACAAATGCCGGAAAAACGTAGGTTCCTTAGCATTTAAAGTGGATGTAAGTTTTAATGCAGGAAGCAATGTGTTAGGGCTAGTGCAAATTTATTAATGCTCATTAAAAGGCGCTATATTTCAGGAAACACGAAATAACAGAATAATTTCATTATACAGCTGTAAACAGTCATTACTGTTGTGTGCGAAGCCACACAGTCATTCAGTGTAACCCTTGCCATAAGCGGAACATTTGATTTATCACTAATTGATAATGGCAAAATTTCCAGAACATCAATTAATAAATGCGGCTGCCTTGTGTGAGGAATTTCAAACAGTAGGCTTGCGATATCAGGCGTGTTGTGTTATTTAAATCAGCAGGAGTATGAAAATCTATCAGCCGTCGCTGAGGCAAAACGTGGTTACGCCAGTGTTCTTGGAGAATTCTTCCTCATAAGTTATTAATTCCTCTTTCCCCAAAACAGCTAGTAACATTAATAATTGTTTCAGTTTCGAAAGCGAAGATAATCGGGAATCCGGAGCTACATATCAAAAGCGGAAGCGACATAAACCTAACATGCGTGGTTCTTCAGACGCCGGATCCACCTAGCTTCATATACTGGTAAGATTAATGGTTTTCCTACACGAGAAGCTCCATCACACAACCTAACAATGGCAAACTGACCAGTCCTGCTTTATTGTTTTCATTTGGGACTGAATTGGAAATATTATCAACCAATATTTCGAAAAAGAACGAAAGTTTTCCGATTTTTATTTTACTTTCGGTGCATTTCAATCAAAATTGAGTTTACTCAGTTAGTTAGTTAGTTAGCTTATATTAAAGGTAATTGWCGAAAAATTTCRAACTAATGGGTTTTTCGGGTTTTTAGGCCGTCGTTCGGCAGAATTTCTTCCTGACGTTTCACAAGCACGAGTGGCTTGCATCTTCAGAAGTGGTTTGCTTGAACGCTTACACTGTTACGATGAATCGAACGATCCATCAAACCCATTAGTTTGAAGGAATGGCCTCGAAAGTCTATCTCGTTTCATGAATAATTTCAAATTGATTAAAGTCGTTTTGATTGGCGTGGGCTACGTTATGTATGCTATTTGTTCTAACAGAGATTAGCAATCGTAACTGACCCCCCAGATTTAGCTTAGCTGGCTTATCTCATATGAAAGAAAGAAAATTTTCTAACTTTATTTACTCTTTCTTTGCGCAATAATAAAGCCCCTAAATCGCCGATGTGAATTTTATTCATTGTTCAGTATCGCTCTATTACTGTTGCGTACTAATGGTAACAACCACAATAATTTAAAATTGGCCAACATAATTAAAGCCAGTTCTAATCATGCAAGAATGTATAATTATAAAATAGCATATTCAAAACTGCAATTAAACATCCATATGTTAATATTTGTTAATATCTAATCGACAACTATGCTGACAAAAACTGCACGCAGTTTACATGTAATCGGATTAGATGAATGCAACATTCCCACAACCCATAAAATTCAAATATTATTTTAGCTGATTGTTACTTGGCAATTCTTCAAGCTCCTCCTATATGATAAATTTCAAGATAAAAATTCGATTCAACAATAAAACTGTTGGTCGAGCACTGATGGAAATTTAGCAATATCATCCCTAAACTTTTACTATCTCGTTACTGATCGAAATAAAAACGAAATAGAACAATTTCAATGACAGTGCGGTAGTAAAAAGTTATACTTTATGGAGTTGAGGCATGAACTGTGGGCCAAGCTCTGTTATGTCGTAAAGTAAGCCCACTATCATTAGTATTCATTAGAAGACCTCCTTCTTGGTAATCTCTAGATCGCCAGAATCGATAACGTTTCAGACGTTCCCAATATTATCCGGTTTTTTAACACTTTCTGAAATTTTGCGGAACAATTCTGGAGGCATATTGCAGACAACAAGCTCTCGTTACTATCATTTATTAATTTACCTTAATTATCCACTAACATTACGTTTTATCGCAGTTATTTAATAAAAAAAAAATCCGCACATCTCAGGAATTGATTACCCAGCATCGAAAGAAGCAAACTGAAAAATGCATCGCTTAAATATAATCCAGAACCTATTGGAAAATCCTTTGTTGTCCAATGGGGATAGGTAATGCCTTATAGCTTTTAATAAATTCCCAGCTACTTGCGGGTTTTCAGTATTAATACATACGTTTCAATTCACAACGTAATCCATTATTTTTCAACAATTCTTACCCTGATATATATGCTTGAAGAAACTAGAAGAGTTGTTCCCCGTATATCTATAAATGTGGAATGGGGAGTAAACTGCTGTTTCGATAGTAATAAATGCAAAAAGAGTTACTGTCTATCGAATTATTCTTATTGAGAAACACATTTTAAAAATAAACCTCGCTCGAATAAAGATTTGTTTGGCGTTTTTACAACTTGGGATTTCTTGACTTGACGATTCCGGAAATATTTTTGCAGCCGAAATATAGGAAACGTTTTGAAGCTTACACAAGAGATATGCGGAGCTACTCATGCGGCATAGTAATGAGGAAACTACATCGTTTATTTTACTATTTGGGAATAGGAAATTCACTCCCTTTTCTCGAATTTAAATAATCGTCCATGGGAATATATTTTAATAATCTTAAGATATCGATAAGTACAAATCAATGCTTCTGCCATCGATTCGATTTACTATAGTGTACGAACCTCGTTGGCAAAAATACGTTAAGACCGTTTGCCGAAAACAATCGTTTTTTTTCAAGAAAACATTTTTAAGGAAACCCGTACTTCAATGTTCGTTTTATTGTTGCCACTTTACGTTCAGGAAGAACGTTTTTTAGAGGGCTGTTATAAAATCGGAAAAGTTTTAAAAGGTATAATTTTAAAGGGAAATTTATTCACTTTATACAGTGCAGGAAGAAGCAAGAAGTTGTGCTTGCTAGGGCCATTAAAGCTTCCGTTATAATTTGCAATCTTGATCATGTTTGTTTTATTTTCCTGTCGTAATTAAGCTGGTAATGGAATTTAATCTGATGTACGGGTGTTACATTAAATATGAAAGTGGTAATTTCTTTAAACGGTTTATTATGCCAACTGCTTCTATTGGCTGTAGAAAATCAGTACCACATTACAATTGGCGAGTTAAAGTTCAGCGGTATAATTAAATTTTAAGCAAGTATAGAAAAATGTAATGTATGACCAAATAGCAATTTATCTGAATTCATAATGTTCGTTTGAATAATTTAATTTGGTAGCCGCGTATATATCAACATTCGCGGTTTTGTTTACAATACCGTTTCCATTAAATTAATTTAATCACTTAATGGGGCAATAATGTTATTTTTTATGTTGTGGAGCTTCCCAATAAGAACACAGTTGAATGAAAAGCAGAAACATCTCAATTCATAACGTAAAAATAACACGGTATTGTCTAGAATTAATTAATAATAAAATTTGTGGTGCTTTGAACTTGAGCACTTTCTACCTTTCGCAAACTCACTATATATTAAATCGTTTTTCAAAAAAATTGAAATCGAAACAGTTCCCAGGTATATTAAAACGTCTTGCTGTGGCTTATTTATTCTACTGCTCCCTTAGTGTACAGAAATTTGCTATTCTGCTGAGATTGAGCATCAAATACAATATAAAATCATGCATGAACATAAATACTGAATTTCAATTCTGTAATACCTGTAATCGCATGTCAATAAGAATTTATACGTTTTACCCCGTAAAGTTACTGCTGGAAAGTGCTGACATTTTAAGAATATACGATTTTGGAAATGTCGATATTTCACATGTTTCTTGACTAAGCGTACTTTATTTTTCTGGCAATCGCCAAAATAATCAATGAGGATGTTATGATTTCGGCCAAAAACCACCATAATACCGGTATGACAAATTAGTCCAGCCCGGAATGGAGGCTCGCATGAAAGAAAGAAATGTGGGCTTTTTGGACCCTAAAAGGTTTCTATCAATAGAGCTGCGGGTCCAGTTCTGAAAATGTTTCAATTTAGAAAATACAATTTTTATATTGCATTGTAAAGCCACTTTCGGAATTTGATACCTTTGCAATTAGCCTCTTTAAATATACGATATTAGTCACGTTGAGAGGAATGAAATTGTGGAAAAGATAATCGAAAGAAATATTGCTTTTGCAAATATAAACGCATTTTGCTTTTCCGCCGATTCCAGGCTTGGAAATGTTCAAGTTTACTCAGCGGAGCCGATATTTTACCCGATTTCGTGGATTAATTGGCACATTTGCAGGCGAAATGTCAAAAATTCGATTTCCCTTCGGTTTCTGACAAGATCGGCTTTTAATCAGCAAAAAAAAATTTAAAACTATTTCAAATATCGTTGTGCAGATTCCGTTTTCCGCAGTCAAATATTGTTGCTATATTTTAAACCGCATCATCATTGCCAGTCCCTATTTATAATACAGGGGCGTTGTGAACAGTGGTTTTGCCAAAGATATAAATGCCTTAAATATCTGATTAATTACATCAGGACAATTATGTTTCGATTATAGAGTTTTTGTCGCGATATGCTATTGTAAATAGTTGTTGCGTCTTCATAGTGCGCGATATCCGCGAGTATTTGCAAATTTCGCCAATCGAATTCGTCCATTCATTAAAATGAAGAATGGAAAAGTCCAGTTTTGTAACATAGTAAAGTTGCTGCTGTTGTATTATCTACTTGTTAGGGAAGAACGGCTATTTTTATATTTATAAATTTAATTGAACTCGCATAACAATACAATAAATATAAGCACGTTGCATGTAACGCTGTCAGGCAGGTAAAAATACATTTTTTCCGAGACACATCTGACGAGCGGAAAGCTAATAACGAGAAGTTTGAAAACTTTCCCGAGGATAATTACGTGGCAGGTTTAAGCTTTCTATCGAGCGTAATCTAAGGAATTCAATGCCTTACGACTTCTTTTTTCTTTCCGTGTCTAAGCTTAACTTTTGGCTCAATGGGTTTAGCTCTACCTGACCTGCAATGGTTGTTTTTGTCGCTGGAAACTTTTTCCCGATAGAAACTAGTACCAAACTTTCAACAATAAAAATCTGTTCGATGTATTGAAACTTTCTGGATATTTGGTTCACTGCGAACTTATTTGTTTAGAAAACAAGCTAGGGTTTATAATAAATTGCATGTGTGCTAAATCATCAATTATCTTATCGTATCGCCACCTTTTCTCAGGTCAATCATTCATCATCGGCTAACTTTGGGTGAATTATGAATTTTTTTATTTATTTAGGTATAGAGGTGGCGATGTGATCAACTATTCCCAAAGGGGTGGTATAAACGTGGTAACCGAGAAACAAACGAAGACAAGCCGATTGTTGATATCGCGAGCTACGCCTGAAGACAGCGGCAATTACACTTGTTCTCCCAGTTCATCTGATGCTGCCAGCGTCTTGGTACACGTTCTTCAAGGAGAAACTCCTGCAGCTATGCAACATAGCGCCACGGTGCGAATCGGGACTATAGACTTCACTCTACTGATACTGTTCTTGTGCTTCGTTTTTGTCCGGTGAATTCTAAATTTGCCTCTATGAATATCAACTTTTAAGAATTTTCACTAGTTTGGAGTCTGGTTGAGCAGCTATCTTCTTGAACATGATGAAACGGTACGTATCAAATGTATTTTTCGTTAACAGCTATGTGCTAGAGTTGCGTGAGCAAACGCACTTGTTTCCAAAGTGAAGAGCACAAACAGAAAATTGATGGCAATTGATCATCAATTATTAAAGTGTTCTTGGTCACATCACAGTTAATATTATTTAATTAATCCGAGAAGATGAATTGCGACCAATGCCATACTTAATATTTGTTATTTGTCGCTCCTAAATGAAGAAAAATGTACCGATTCATCAATCAGCTATCCGGGTAGAACTTTGGCCGAAATCGTAAGGCAGACGTGAAACATTGCAACCATTTTTTGTATATTAGTAGCATAGAAATTTCACCTGTGTACTATACAAGAGTAGACTGTCTCTAAACTGCGCTTGTAGAGTTGTCATTACGCAGTTAGCGCGAAGAAAGGTAAATTAGAGAGGAACAGTTTATGGTAGAAGTTAATCGATAATTGGGTGGGTGATCATCAGGTTAAGACGTTTCTCTCAAAATACAAGAATGTATATACGAAGCCCTGTTTTATATGTCATGTAAGCCTCAGATACAATTATCCATAGGTAATGGCAAATCTGCCACTAGTTGAACCAAAAACAATTATGCATTAATTCGCATCAGCCAGTAAGTTAAGGTAGGTAAGTAGATTTAATTGATGTCGTATATTATAAGATACGTTAGGATCGAAAATTAAGATGTATCCCAAGCCACCCAAGAGGTAAATTCCACTTGGAAACATAATAGAAACAGATTAACGGTCTGTCTTAATTGAATGTGAGGCACTAACTTTAGGGTGTACATCTACTTAGGATTTTCTAAAAATATTATATCAAACTAAATGTAACATATCTTCCGAACAGCCTAAACCTATCGCGTCTACATTCCTGGTGGTATATAGTTATAAATGCATACATAATCCATCCATTTCAACTGTCTCTGACAATAAATTGATTTTTGTCAAAAGAGTTGAAGGTGCGAGTGAAACCCCTGAATATTAATTTTTCTTTAACCGAATTTCCTAGGTCGGAAAAGTTCCATCGCATTCAGTTCGAAATGTCGATTCGTGATGTTTATAGATGCTTGGTGCACGACTAGATATGCCTAAATCCAGCGAGCTTAGCAGCTTTCATTCAAGGAGTCAGGGTTTAAAACCCCAGAGAACCTGCAGAGATCTGCCGAATATTTAAAATATCGGCAACTTTCAAGTTAAATCGCTCTTATCCTACGTGATCGGAGCGAAATGTTAATTACCGGTTTTTGTCTAAGAAGCTTATAAATTTAATAGTGCAAGTGATAGGCTGGGAGAGTTGCAGATTCTCATGGCTCTAACTTCAAGTAACTTAGATAACTATTGGAATCACTCGGGAATGGTATACGAATTGAACACTCGGTAAGCATCCATTTTAGAGACAAAATTTGTGCTTATAAATGTTCGTTATGAAATTTTCTACGAAATCGAGTTGGCCTGATATCCGTAGATTTGAAATGTCCGCTTTAAAATGCTCGACAGTGCAACCAAAATAAGAAAAAACAAGGTAATTTTAAATTATGTATTGAACAATGCAAAAATAACTCAATCATGCCATACATTTAGAGAAAAGTACTTGACTGCAATACAAAACGAGAGCCGCAAGGCCGATTAAGATCCGACGGGCAGTTTTTGCATAATGCAATTGTTAAATAAACTACGTGGAAAAAAGACCTTTTTTATTTTATGCCAGGCTCAAAGTTATGAATATCTTTTGCGCCCGCGATTTTACACCTTTTTGGACCCTTAAACTATCATATACAATGGCTAYATTAACCATTTTTCAGTTTTTAATAACTTTTTGAGCGGTTTTAAAAAAATTTAAGTTTGGCTTTTAAATAAATAAGCCTGAGAAGCGGGATTTGCGAGTGGGAAAAACTCGGAAAATATAGAAAAATAGTACTCCGATTTTTCCGACTCGCAAATCCCGTTTCACAGGCTTACTTATTTAAAAGCCAAAATTTTCAAACTTTTTAAAACCGCTCAAAAAGTTATTAAAAACTGAAAAATGATCCAGTTAAACGGTCCATATTCCAAAATGGCAAACCTTCAACTAAACCAGAAAGCAATGTTTTACTTTCCCAACCTCGAATTCGGTAACCCGTTACTATCTCCTAATGTTTGGCGTGTTTGGGTTAATTTTTCACTATTCAATAAATAAATTCCAAATCAAATTAATTCCTGGGTTTCAGTCATTTATTGTCTCTATTTATCAATCAAAATACGTTTCGGTGTATTTTTCCACCATCATCAGT